TTGAGAGTTCTGGAAGACTGCATTCGCATCACCCTCATTCAGACAAGTTTGGTCTGATACCTACAATGTGCTAGCTTCTGTGTTGAACACCAGGAACATTAAATGAATAAGACTTATTCCCTGTCCTTTTGCTGTATGCTATTAGGGAAGACTGACTCTTTTACAGAGCAAAATGTGTGGTGTAAAAGTCGTATTTTATTCAACAGATGTAGCAGGCACTGATCTAGGTCGTTGGGCTTACCTGCCCAAAGTCTCTGCCTTCTGAAACTGTGGTCTAGAGGGAGAACCAGACGATAGGTGAGTTACAAGCAACATGCGACAGTAGAAAAAGTCCCAGAAGGCTTCACATAGAAGGTAACACCTGAACTGTCTGAAAGGATGGGGAGGGGTTTATGCCATAGCTGGGGGTAGACGTGGAGAAATGGTAAGCAGAGGAAATGGGATATGAGAAACAGAGCAAGAACTAATTGTAGTTCACAGGGCTGATAATTCTAGTCATTTTTTTTTAAATACTAAATCTGGCTTCCAGCAGTCTTGGAGAATTCTGCTGAAACAGCCAAGACCTGCACTGCTTCAAGAGGCACTTAAAGAAAACGTGAATGTCCTGGCAATAGATTACACAGCTGCGACCCAGGACACCCATAGGGAGAAAAATCAGGAAAAGATGTCATCCTTAAAAGTATCACTTCTCCGACTATGACTACTTAGAACATTTTGAATTCTCTTTTGAACAGGCAGCCACATTTTTGTGCTCAGGCTGCTTCTCAGAGAGAGAGAGAGAGAGAGAGAGAGAGAGAGAGAGAGAGAGATTGTTAGATTCTCCTGTCTCCACAACAAAAAATCAAAAGCAGCCATTTTTAAAAATAATTGCATGGTTCCAGCCATATGCTCCCCCCCCACCCGCCCTCACTGAGTATCATTCACTTAGGACTGGCATAATTCCCCTCCTAAATTGGAGGTTTGCATATGTAATTATATCAAATGATGTGTTTGTTTATATCTCCAAACCACATTCAAAAGCTTGCCTATGATTTATTTTTGAAATTCAATTTCATCATGTCAGTCCTCAATTTACTGTGCCCAGTGGGTCTACAGTTTCATGTGTGATGTGCATGCCTCTCTCTTGCATAGATTACAGAATGGGGGCTGCCTTCCACAGTGATGAGTCAGAGTGGCTGAAAAAGGAGGTTGCTTTGTTTTATCATCTTCTCTATTCTGAGATACAAATGCATTCAGCTACAACAAAGTAGTTAAAAATGAAAATGCAGCCTTGATAATTTTAACTAATTCCTCTGGCCCGTAAAGGATGACTCGCTGCATCCCTTTCTGATTGTAAAAAGTGACAGAGCCACTGAGGTGCTATGCACACAGCTCATCATAAGTATAAGCTTTAGAAGGAAGAAAGCTTTTGCTCCTTCTTGGTTTAGTCCTGGCTTGAGAACAAGATTTATTATATTTTTCGGTGCAAATAACTACCAGTTGTTGCTTTAATCCAAAAAGTTCAATGTTTCTATGTTCTAGACTCCCATAGACAAACCTAATTACTCTATTCATTCAAACCGTTCTTCATGCCTGATTCCTAAACTAACTCGTTCATTCATTCTAGTATTTTTAAGTGTCTACCTTTTCCAAACATGAAAGACTTGTTAAACCTAAAAGTCAGGGTTTATGATTTTCTACCAATTTTTTCACAGCTTTTTTGATATATAATTTACATATAATAACATTTACCCATTTAAAGTATACAATTTAGTGATTTTCAGAGTATTTATAGAATTGTGCAACTGTCAGCACGATCTATAATTTTAGAACACGTTATCACTCCAAAAAGAAACCTTATACCCGTTAGTGGGCCTATCCCCCTACCTCATCTGATTTCCTATTCATTTCCACTTTTAGATTTTTTTTTCTTGTCTTTTACTTCATATCTATGAAAATAAAGGTGGTGGAAGCCCAAAGAACTGAAACCTGCAGAGGTTTTCCTGCATCTTTGCTCCAGGAACAGAAACCGCCTGGCTTCCTCACAGCTCCAGGTTCAGCGTTGTGTGTGTGTCTCAGACTTTTCAGGAAGCCTGTCTCTTTCTCTGTTGGCTGATCAACATGTGAGAAACGCATCCTGGTGAGGGTATGCAGATGGAAGGAGAGACCATGTTGCTCTCCCAGTTATACTTGGGCATTGTGAAAATAAGTGAATCCCCTAAAGGGTGACCCCAAAGAATCAATAGGAGAGGAAGCTGACCTCTTCCCTGTGCACAGTCACACCACAGTGGGCAAGTAGGACCTGCGATGACACGAGAGTCCTCAGGGGAACAGAAGGCAAAGGGGGCCTGGTCTTTTGTGCCTGGAAGAGCAACAGGGTAGAAGCCAACAGCCCTTTGACCCATTCATGGCCTCAATATAACAAGCATGTCTCATTCCCAGTGTGTCATCTAATAGGTGAGGCTTCATGAAAGCCTCCCCTTCCTTGTGACAGTTACTCACTACTTAGAAAGAGCCTCTGTGACATGTTACCTTGTTGGACAGAATGGCCTGAAAATGAAGGTGTCAGATTCACGTTAGACGCCCACTGGTGCAAGCACACAGACCCTTTGTCAGTATGAATCAGAGCTATGTCCCCTTTGTTCCTCCTTCATCACCCCACCCACCAGTGCCCTCACACATCATTCCCCCACCCACCATGAACACACTGAGCCTGACGGCCTGACCCAGAGGCAAGAGCAGCTCAGTGTACGTCATTCTTGGATGGGGGGGGGGGGTGGCAAACGAACTAATGTCAGTAAGAGTCAGAATGAGATTCAACAAAAGATAGAGGAATTAGCACCTTTGTCTTAGAATCAGAGGACCCTCTCAGCCCTCATCCCAGGAGATTCTGATGCAGCAAATGAGGGATGGCATGGGGAAGACAAAATCCATGTTTTTAGTTTCCCCTGTGATTCTGGTGGTCACCTAGGGAAGGGAAGTCACTGATCCTCTCACTTGAAACTCTTGGCGGCAGTCTTCCATAATCCCATGGTCTCTGATAGTAGTAGCTCGTTATATCCAAGAGTGCCTCTGCATTGCTCCATTTACACAGAGGAACTCTGTAAATGGATTTAAATGACTGCAAATGTCACACACAGCTCCCCCACCCACAGATAACTCTCCACACACAAAACAATACCCTCCTAAAGGAACACATTCTAAGTCTGTAGCAAAACTAAAGATTAGAACATAATCCATCTCTTCCACAGCAACTTACCATAACCAGACATTAATGAATTCCTATTCTTTGTTCTAAATGGGGAACGAGGTGGGCACCAGCGCCTCCAAATCAAAAGACAGGCTCTTCCCATGAAGAAACTCGGTCAATTTGTCTAGTGAGAAAATACAGACACATGCACAAAGGATTCTAGCATAGGGCAAGGAACAACGATGGTGGAGTACTGGTTACATGGAGGCATGAGAGATGGGCATCTAACCCTGTTAAAGGGGACTGGCAAAAGCTAACACTTGACCTACATTTTAAAAATCTAGCTCAGTATAGTGTTGCATAGCTTGGTGAATATAGCTCATCCTAGTGTATTGCACATTTCAAAATTGCTAAATTTCAGCAATGATGTCCTCACTACAAAAAAAAAAAAGTACTTGAGGTGATGGATATATTAATGTGCTTGATTTAATTATTTCACGTGGTATTCATACATCCTAACACGACTTTGTACCCATAAATATATACAACTATAATTTGTCAATTTATAATAAAAGAAAAGAAAAGAAAAATCTGTGGGTGAAGCAGTGGGGTAGGGCTCATTCCAGAAGGAATTCACAGGAAGGCAGATCATTTGTGCAGTAGAAACACAGGTTTCCCTCCAGTGGGGAGTGTAGAAGTGGGGCACAAGGGGGCAGCCTTGTAAACAGCCATGCTAACCTTAACGGGAAATTATTTTGAGGGCCATGGGGAGCCATTTAATTTCCAGTGGTCTCTTCTTGGCTTTCTCTAAATTCCGTGTACTCGCACCCACCATTTCTATATAGGACAGAAGCTTGAGGTCAACAGCTCCTCCTCGGGCCCCAGCGAAATACCCTTTCCATATTTCACCTTCCTCACTAGCATTGGGAACAAGCTTTTCATCTGATTTTCTCTGTTCTTTCCTTGTCTATTATAATCTACCATGAAAACAGCCCAACTCGTATTCTCTTTAGGGACATTGTGGAATTGAGAAATGGAAAGTAAATTTGACCTCCTAATTGCCATTTGACAATAAGAATAATAAAACCTGCAAAAGACAAATTGGTGCAATAAGCTGGGAGGCCTTGAAGGTTTTGTCTTCTCATTTTCTTTTCTTTGTCTTTATACTCAAAGGGGTGATTCATTTATGAAAAAAACACCATTGGAAGAAAAGATAAAGAGGTATTTTCCATGTGGAACTTATTTCATATCAAGAATCAAACACATAAAACAAAATGATAAAATTACAGTATGAGATCTTTGGTGTGTAAGAGTTATTAAATTTGAAATAATTATGTGTACAAGTAGTTACTACCGAAATAACCTTCTTTGTCACCTATAACAAAAATTATATAAGCGTATAAAAGTTAAACAAGAAAATGCTGTTTGTAGCCTGAATCTAATCAGCCTAAACAACTTATTAATTGTTTAAGAACTCTAAAATCTTTAATGAGGTTCCTACTGTAGAATTTCAGTCATATGCAAATGAATCATTGAAACTCCTCATTATCAGAAAAACAATGGTTCTTTAGTGAGTTTTTATATCCCTGAAGTGATTACAATACCTCAGTGGTGGTAGAAAGAACTGAAACAATTTTTTCGGGTTTTCTTTGTAAATTTTATCTTCTGTTAAGAATAATTCCTGAGACCATTCGGATTGTCACTGGGGATTGATTGGAAAGTTACTGTTCCCCACCACTTTTGCTTTTCCTTTAACTGGACTTGTTTCCCACGCTCAGTAAGCTACTTGCCCCAGATATTTAAAAGTCAAATATTCTCATTTCTACTGCAGGTCTGATTACAACAACTTCAAGGAAATTGGATCGAGAACAGCAGGCAGAACATTTTCTGGAGGTAAGTGCATAGAGGGAACTGGAATTCATTAAAACTGACTTTTACTAAACTTCTTTAACCTTCAGAATAAACTAGAACTTTAAAATATTTGAACAGTGGGTTTCAAAATGAAGATATTTCTCTTGGTCTGATTTATTCAGCATTTAGGGATTTCTGGTGCATTCTTCCCAAGGTGCCCCTCTGTGTGGAGCAAGGTTAGCAGAGCGGCTTTTGCCTTTTGCTAAACACAGGCAGGTGTGCTAGCATCTCTGCCTCGACTGAGGGCTCTTTTGTCAATAATCAGAAAAGAAAGTTCAGGAGCAGAGCCCTGTGAGCCTCTGGGACACAGATGTAAAAAGAGAAGGAGCAAAAGTACACCATTGGTGAAGAAGTGCATTGCCGTCCTCCTCCTCTCTCATCTTGGGCAGTGGCTTGAGGAGGAGATGGCTGCTGGTTGAGTCATTACCCGAGATGACTGTTTCTGAAACCATAAAATGAACTCCTATAATTCATTAAGACAGAAACAGCAGCAATATAAACTCTAAGAGCATTATTTCTGGAGAGGGGAAAAAACCCACATGAGATGAGAAAATAGATAGGGAAGAGCTTTGCAGAACATTCTTTCTATACATATCGAGCATCTTTACTGGGAAGCTTGATGTCTGGGTGGTTTATATGACACTGTGATTTAAGAGTGAAAGTGTGACATGGAACAGATGACAATGATTAGCACTTAGGGCTTTGCTAAGGGTTTATATGTGCCCATGCTTCTAAAATAATCTTTTAGTTCCTAAGAACCACATACTGAAATTCACCGTTCCTACACACACACACACACACACAAACACACACACGTGCACACACACACCACACACACACCACACACCCATCAAATCACATGTAGAATCTCTTCTGGTATCCTCCTTTAAGTCCATTCTCCAGTAATGACTTATTTAAAGAACACTGAACTAGAAGTTAGGACTCGGGTCTTGGAGCCGCCCTGATCTGATTAGCTTGAAGCTTTGGATGATGCTATTTAATTGCCCTAGACCTCAGTTTCCCCTACTGTGAAATCTGGCAGATAATTACTATCCCAAATACCTCAAAGGATCACTATTAGAATCAAACCTTATATTTCGTATCAAAGCATTTTCAAAACTCGTAAAGCATTACACATAATAAGGAATTACTATGCAGCACTATGATAATCCTTTTAAAACACTGCTATCATCTCTTAAAGATAAAAGACTCCAGGCTGCCAAAAAATAATTATAATAATTCTATTCTCAAAATTATATTAATGGGCTGCAGTACTTACCTGGTCTGGAATTAGAGTACATTTGCCAAATAATAGCATATTATTATATTATATTTCTGTGCTGCTTTCTTCTCCAGAAGAGAGTCCAGGACACCTGGAAAGGCTGTGTTCTTAGAGAGTTGAACTCATTACCTCCCAGCAGGAAGCAGGGAGGCCTCTCACTACCTGGGGAACCTGGCTGAGATCACTCGCTGCCTTGTTCCTTGCACAGTGGTGTCTGCTGTCCGGGGGGTGTGATTCAGAGTGTGACTGATACAGGTTCGATATATGGTAGAGAAACAAGGGAAGAGTGTTTTCCAAGCATTTGAATTTACTTCTCAAAAGAACCCTTAATGGCTCCATATCCTTTACAAACTTACATTAGTACTGAGTAACATTTTGGTACTTTGAACCAACATAGATTGGGATCTAGAACATCATTTCTCAGCACAGTTGAATATCCCCTTATCAGAAATGCTTGGGACCAGAAGTATTCTGGATTTTTGGAATATTTTAGTCGCACTTAATTGAGCATCCCTAATCTGCAAATTCAAAATCCAAAATGTTCCAATAAACATGTCCTTGGAGCATCATGTTGGTGCTCAAAAAGTTTCTGATTTTGAAGCATTTCAGATTTCGAATCTTTGGATCAGGGATAGTCAATGTATACCTGGTATAATCCGCATAGGAAAGCAGGATAGCATGGCAATTAACAACCTCATAGAGTTGTTGGGAGATTAAAATATAAAATATGTGTAAAATATCCAGTCCAGTATCTGGGGCTAAGTGGAGGCTCAGGAAAGTGTAGTAATAATCATTGTGATTTAATTATTATCATATGGTAATATAATACCTGAACCCTCCTAAAGATTTTACTTCCTCTCACTGCTCCAGGAAGGATAGTAACTCCAGGCCAATGAAATACAGAAGGAGCCCAGGTGCCAGCTACTGGACTCAGCCTGTATACCAGGGACTGCCCCAAGTGCTGGGGACACAGAGTGAGCAGGGGGGCACGTGATAAAGGAATAAATGCTGTGACTGCACAGACAAACTCTCTAAGGCCACCAAAAGACAGTTCCGTGACAATGTCCGAAAGTCCGGGACTGGTAGACAACATTCAGTAGACTGGTTAGGAGGGCTTTTCGAGGCGCTGATATTTGGTGCATTTGGCGACAGGATGCCAAGATTGTGTCCATGAAACAGAAGCGAGGCCTGTATAATGGGGGGCGGGGGTGTGATGCAGCGCAGGGTAGGAGGTGGAGTGATGGGAAATCAACTTGGGAAAACAAAGAAAGGCTGTGGCAAGGATACTGCATTTTGTCCTGAGTGCAGTGGAAAGCCATTAAGCAGGGATGGCCGGATATGACTGCCATCATAAGGCATGGCTGGCTGCCCTGCTAGGCAGAGATATGTAGGGGGTGGGGAGAAGGACTATAAGTGGGGAAGCTTTTATAGAGATCCAGGTGAAAGGTGATGGTGGTTTGAAGGAGGGTGAGGGCAGTGGGTCAAGAAGCGAATTGTTGTCTAACACAAATCCCATCATGATCCCGGCTAACAAGCAGCACACTGGCTTTTCTAAAGTCTTCAGAGTGGATATTTTTAAAACTGTAGGTCATCTGAATCATGCCAGCCTGGCCTCCAGCACACCCCGTTGCCCTCTCCAGATCCCAGGAGTCCCACCACATGCGCTGTTTCATTTAGTAAATCTGCTAAGGCTTTCAGAAACCAGCTGAACCTCAATCTCTCTCTCTCTCTCTCTCTCTCTCTCTCTCTCTCTCTCTCTCTCTGTCTGTCTCTCTCTCTCTCTCTCTCTCTCTCCCCCTCTCCCTTTCTCCCTCTCTCTCCCTCTCTCTCCCTCTCTCTCCCTCTCTCTTCTCCTCTGTCTCCTCTCCTTTCCTCTCCTCTCTCTCCCCCTTCCCCCTCGCTCCCTCCCTCTGTCTCCCTCTCTCTCCTCCTCTCTCCTCCTCTCTCCTCCTCTGTCTCCTCTCCTTTCCTCTCCTCTCTCTCTCCCCCTCCTCCTCCCTCGCTCCCTCCCTCTGTCTGTCTCTCTCCCTCTCTCTACCTCTGTCTGTCTCTCTCTCTCCCTCCCCCCAATACACTCTCTTTCTCTCACTCTCTAAATTGTACGATTCATGTTATTTTTTTATATATATAACATTGCTGCCAGAGCTTGAACAACATTCATTTCTTTTTTTCTAAATGGATCACCACAGAAGGAATACGGCCTTTGCCCTGCACAAAATGAGTAAAATAATTTCATTGAGCGCAGAGTAGAGTTCTCTGTTGTACACAGATTTTGTTACTACTGATACATTTTGTGAGTTGTAAGGCCCGAGTGTGGGTAATTAACCTCCTGGAGAGTCTTTACTTGCCAAGATAACCATATGCTCCTCTTAAACTCATATTAAACTTCTGCCTGTATTTCTTCTCCTTCCCAATAAAGTCAAATTGACTCTTCTTGAAAAGACCTATTTAGAAGCTTACCTGGCAGGTACACTTCTGAGAAGGTAACCAGGAGAATAGTGATATCAGTGATTTATTTGTAGTTTGCTACCCCCATGATAGAAAGCACATTAATTGTATGCTGTTGACATTGTACATAGGTTTAAGATATTTAGCTTGACTGTGTATGGGCTGTAAGCGTTTTTGAGTCTGTAGAGCATTTGCCTTAAATCTGTGACTATAAAAGAAGGATTGTCATTATCAGAATCCAAAGGATTTTCTAAGGCAATAAGAGCAGCAAAGAACTGTAGGGAAATTCACAAGTACAGCTTATACTTCTTTGGTGAATTCTACATGTTAACTCTTGCCTGGTTTGGAAGTCTGTTATGTGAAAATATTGGCCTGATATTCTCTCCCTACCATCAAATTCAAAAATAGAGAGTTTTTAGCTCACTTACTCTAAGTCATATGCATTCCCTGATACCCAGTTATGATTATAGAGGAGACAGAAGGCTAATTCTAGCATATAGATGCAGAGTTGATAATGGATCCATAAACTAAACAGCGAATTAATGTTTTAGCTTAGTGGTTGTGATGCTGGCCCTGATTACTTCATTATCAGGGAAGGCAGCTGTGAAACAGGGAATAAACGCACTAACTCTTTCTTATAATATAATCACTTATATGGACTGTTTTCTCACCTCTGAGATGTTTAAGCTCCCTGTGGGCATGAAACTTGATTTATCAAGAGAGTGAATACAAGGTGTTCAGGAAAGCTTGCATGTTAAATTCAGGCCTGCCTGTGATCACGTTCTGGTACAGCTCTCAGAGCTTAGATGGGTTGATGAACCTCTCTGGACCCTGTTTCCCTCATCTGTAAAGTGGGGATAACAATTCCTACCCTAAGGTTGGTGTAAAGAGTAGATGAAATGACAGGTGAACCGTGTTCTGGACGCTGGCCGTTAGACAGTGTATGTTCCACAAACGGTGCTTGCGGTCAGCACAGACTGTTTTGCTCATCTCTGTATTCAGAGCACCTAGGTCAGCACCCTGGAAACGGGATACTCAATAACTGTGTCAATGGATGATTACATTAAGAGGCCTTTACTTTGCCTCCTAAATGAGATCACGGAGAAGGGGATGTTAACACACAGGGGAAAGCATGGGTTTCGAGACAGAAAGGAGGAATGTTTTGCCTCTTTCCATCTGCATGAGCTTTGCCAAGTTCAATTAACTTCTATCTTCTTTTTCCTCATCTGTAAAATGGGGGTTAATAATTGCC